GTTCATACTTGATTTAGGAAATATAGTATGTTGTGGTTGCAATTAACGATTTAGGTCAACCTATTTGTTTAATTGTCTGGACGTAATATTTTGATACACGCTTTATTGTGTATTATTAATTTGGAGGCAAACGTATATTATTAATTTTACAGCATAATATTCGGAATACTTAAAACATATAACAGCGAAATCAACTGTAATCATTTGGGCATATATTGATACAGCATAGTCACTATCGTATTTGCAGATTTGTAGCACGCTAAGTAACTTTTAGAAAATGTGTCAGTACAGATAAATTTTGTCCTTGTTTTTTTTACCTGTAGCTCTTTCAAACAAAATAACTAGTTAAATTGACGAATGAAGTGATCTGAGCAAGATTTATCCAACTTAAAACCAACAACCGAAATATGAATCAACATGGGTTATTTAGGTTGTGGAATGATGATTTTGCACAGACTTTGTCAAGAATTTGTTAATATACGAATAATGGTACGCAAACACAATATTTAATTGTATAAGACGCGCCATCTGGAGCAATTGTTATAGAATTAACGAGCCTCACAAATGCGATTTACATGTTACCTTTATGTTCAAAAACTAAGGTGGCATCAAGCCATATTTCAGCCTTAGCTCGTAAAGTTCCTAGGGAAAATGGACGGGAATAAATACAATGTGATTGCAGTTTGTACATTTGTCTTGAATTAAATCCCTCAAAATCTTTTCAAAATAAAAAGTGTATTCAATTACTTAAGTCACAAATATACAAATAATAATAAGGAACGCGTATTAAATAAAACGCGCTGTACAATGTTTCTGACAATTGAAAAAGTCTGTTTTATAGAATTATATATGTCACAATAGTATAGTTTATTATATGAAAAGCTGTCTAGAAATATTTTGGAATCGCGCCGAGTGATGTCAACACATTGTATATGGCCCTTGACATTCAATAACCGGCTTTATAGGGTGTATCCAGTGCGCTTTTTCTCAAGTTGTATATATATATAAACCTGATTTTGACATAGTGACCTTATAAAAGTCAAGACAGCGGACGTTTTAATTGTCACGACGAACGTGTTTTTTTTAGGGGGGCAATTATTCAATCCGACTAAACGAACATTTCAAAAATCCGGCATAATAAGCCCATGAGATAAATCCATACTTGAATCAGGGAATATAGTATTTGTATGGTGTTTCAATTAGTGATTTAGTACAACTTATAAACAGAATAAACGACATGGTAAATACTACTCAAATCAAAGTAAATACGTACTGCATGCGTGAATCGAACCGGCGCTGGAGTACGACACCTAGCTTCTCGTCACAACACGTCTTCCCCCTCAGCCATCGGGCATCCCTGAAAAATGGAAGCTTAATAAAGCAGAGATCCGCGTCACAAAGGGCAGCCATATTGCGGAAAGGCCTTCAGATCTGGCTGCACTACGATGGTGAATGCCGAAAGTAATGGTACAGCATTATAACAGTGAATAAGTACTGAAAAATAATTGTAAACTCATAGTTATGAATATAAATATAATCTATTGTCTGTGAATATATTTGTTATTAATTATTTTGATTATATTTTAGTTTACTATTAACTATATCTGATATAGAGTCAGTTTTGAGTTCGTTTGGGTCGATTTGAATTATTTTTGGCTCTTTAGTCGTTTCAGAATTTTGCTTCCTGTTTCCATTTCGATTTCTTCCGTTTCCTCAATATATAATATAAGAGAATTGACCGTCGTGCCAGTAAATATTTTACGAATTATCTCAACAATTACATTTTCAAATTCAATTCGATTTTTTATTAGGTGTGAACACATTTTCAAATTAGGGCAAGTGAAAATACACCATTAACACCCATGTAAAATGAATTCCTTAAAATTTCGAATCATCAACCAATTGCATAGTGGGCATATGACATAAAACACAAGTACACACTATGTAAGTATATTTTAAACAACGCACTTTATTCCACGTGAGAAGGAGTGAACAGGAAATGACCGATCGACCTATTAGCATGGATAGCGGGTTAATTTTATAATCACAAGGAAATATATGACACACTTCTCAATCAATACTAACATCAAAATTATTTGATGTTTGACATTCGTTGCACTGATCAATAACTGAAAAACAAGATACATTATGGAACACATTATGTCTCAATACTTCAACTTAATTATCTATTTTAAATCAGACAACCAATATTTGTTAAGTAAGTGTTATTAAATATTATCTGAATGAAAATTGTAATTACATGTACTATCCTGCATGAATGTATAGCTTACAAATCTTGTGTATGCTATAGTTCACCGAGTGATAACAAATTATTAGAAACAACAAACACATCTCTACATAGGCACTGTAATATTTTGATATATCTGCCAAAATATACCAGTCCACCCAGATCCCAAACATAATAAATGATAAATAAATAATAAGAAAAGCTGCAAGCATTATATCTACCCATTATTCAGCCATCCCATGCCTTCTGCTACATTTAAAGTTGATCAGGCACAAAAATTATTCGAATATTCAGACTCTTGTACTGCCCAGGTATTTTCTAATTAACAGGGCTTTACTCGCAGTACGAAATCGAAATTATACAGCCTGGATAATTAGAAGGCAGGATACCAGAAAATTTGGTATAATATACCTTTCAAACAGTTACAGTCCAAGGCGTGCAACCGCTTCCTTTATAATAGCTTTTCGATTTACTTTCAAACCCATTGTAGGAAAATTTGTAAAAAAGAGAATGTAACGTGGCATACTCAATGGAGACACCTTCCCAGCCAAGAATTCCAGCATTTCATCCATGGTACAAGTGGATTTTTCTTTGGGCACAAGACAAAGGCAGATTTCGTTAACGAGTTTCTCATCAGGAACAGGGACTACTTGGGCGTCTTTCAATTTTGGATGGTCTCCTAGATGGTTCGTGATTTCTGCCGGATATACATTGAGTGTTCCTTTTATAATCATGTCATCGTTTCTGCCTAATATAACCAACCGACCATCTTCATCCATCTGACCGAGATCCCCAGTATAATACCAACCACATGCATCTTTAACTTTCTCTGTACGTTCCCTGTCGCCATAATAACACTGGAATAGATACGGTCCACGAACCCATATTTCACCCCTAGTATTGACAGGCACAATGTTTTGATCTTTGTCCGTGATCTTCACTTCACAGTTATGAATTATTTGGGTTTTCCCACGAATTCTATCTTCCACTGTATCCATTATATCCCCTATGCTGATATCCTGGGCTTCATTTGATCCATACACGATAACAGTATTAGGGCATAGTAATTTAATTGCATTTAGAATGTTGCCTTCTGAATAAACGTTTCCTGTGCACCAGCATCTTTTCAAAGACGAAAGATCAAAGCTAGTAATATTTTGCTGGTTGAGAGCTTGTGATAAAAACAGAGGAAACAACACTACGAAATTACATTTTTCTTGCTCGATAGCTTCCAATGCACCAGAGAAATCTTCTGCAGATCTGGGCCAAACCAGAGTTGCACCCCACGTTAAAAGCATGGTTTGATATATATGACAATATGAACCAAGGCCTGCTAACTTTAGAACTTTTATTATGCCTTCATCATTGGTTGCAGCATTGCGTTTTGAAGCATACAAGTTTTCTATGTTAGCTCTTTGTGTACGAACCACAGGTTTCGGGAATCCGGTGCTACCAGAAGTGAAGGTTATTATATAAGGATCATCAACACTGACTTTGTTCTTCAAAGTTTGAATAAACTGATCTTCTTCTGCTCGGCCACGCCCTTGTTAGCATGCATCACAATGCTGTATCCGAGTAGAGGGCAATCATCATCGAATGTTACAATGTTTCGCAATGATGGTACATGAGATAATTTTGATGTGCCAGATTCTATATCAGGAGTAACTTGTTTTAATTGTTTATATTGGTCATACTGGCTAAAACCGACAAACAAAACTGAACACTCTGTTTGATTTATTATGTATCTCAAACGATCAGCTGATTGTAACTCTGCTAATTCAATTGTGATTAGTCCAGCTCTAATAGCAGCTGAATTCAATAGCATCCACTCGTATCCATCACCCATCCAGAGACAAACTCGCTCACCAGGTTTCAGACCGAGCTTCACCAAATCACAAGCAAGCTGGTTGGTTTCATCTACAAATTGCTTGAAAGATATTCGCACGCCACTTTCGCAGAAAACAAGTGCATCTCTATCTGGAAATCGTCTGACGGCCTCATCTTGTAGTTCATTGAAAGTCTTCCCAATGAAGGGTTGCGCTGACGCTCTGTGATAGTAGCTCTTCTGTATATTGCATTTATTGCTCATTTCGAACTCTGGGAATTAGAAGTGAAATAATTATTACATATCATATACTGATCTTCATTCCACATGATACTATTTTATCTATATGCACTTTGGGGCACTTCACATCAATTCACTCACCAGTTCCAAATAATTACCTCATGATTTGAAATAGTTGGTCATGGCGAATACATAATACTTTTCTGGCAACCCACCAACCCATACTTGAATTGTGAAAATATAATATTTTGTGGTATATTTATATAATATTTAATCTCATAACTATATTTCATCATATTTTACGATGTTCGAATGAGCATATGTTACTCTTACATTTTTAGCAGACACTTCATAAGGATATTCAGTATTGTGAGCCAATTTTAAATAAAATAACAATAATGTGACATACATTTTATTTGTATTCGATCTTGGCGAGAATTCTGATGATATGCTCGATTCGCAATAAAATGCAGCGTGGACATGAAATAACTGCGCAAGGGTGAATTGTTAATTGTGGAGTTTTTGCAGATGTGTTTCATGAATTTTTAATTTAATGAATTAGGTAGATGACAAAATCGGTAATAATTTCCACATTGGGTACCTCATACTAAATACACACGGTAAAAATAATACAGCAGATTGCAATGCTTTATTTATATATCTATAGCCACGAAAATAATTCGGCCGCTATGTGAATGTATAGAGTGTAAATATTACTGTGGTGTTTTATATACATATACATCTAGAATGCAATAACAATGTTTTTTCTGGCAATGAAAGTAACTTAAACACTAAAAACACAAACAAAACAATACATGTAGTTTATTTTTACGCTTATTGCAATAAAACGATTAATTAGGTTTAATTTGGCTACTTCTGGTCCACTTTAATTTAGATATTTCTGCACGATCATTTGACGTTCGACAGTATTTAATATACTACTAATGAATAAGACGACGACATAATACCAGATGAGGAAGGAAATGCGACTTACCTTACTTCTACACGGGTGCTGTCAAAAAACGAAGTTGAATCCAATAGCTTAATAAGTGTGAATGGTAAATCTACATATATATGTTACGTTCACTTCTCATGTACCGTATGCAACACGTGAGGGCGTATGCCCATGGCGTTATAAATATCTACCTACCATTTCTATGAATAAGTCATATCAAATAATATGATTTTAATGATCTGCCCAAGTACGAGTGCGGAAAAGGCAGAGAAAACGAAATTTGATTGCACTCCATTAGCAACTCATGTGCTACGTTGTGTAGATAACGCTGGTGATGTTCTTATTTTGATTGGCATTAAGAAAACGCTCTGATTTATCAAGACATTTTTATGATGCAATTGCCTCAGTTGGCTCAGTTGGCTGATGAAGCTTAAGATAAGAGACATGGCAAAGTCAAGTCACCAAGAAATCACATGTTTGGTGAGTAATGACGATGAATTGTGTAACCATAATAATATGTTTAATGTAAATTTCTACTTTTTATTTCAATTTGCCCAATGCAGCCAACTTAGCTGCCCCAGATACAAAACAGAATAGGCTAAATATTCTAATCCACTTGCCTCAGTGTCAAAAACGTTTGTGTTGTTTGTAGCAATAGGGTAAAACGCATTAAATATTCACAAAACGTTACTAAGCATGCTACTATAACAACGTATATATCTTATGGAAGCTTAGATAGACGAATATTGGGACTTTTTTACTGTTTTTACAATTGCAAACATTGTTTTGGTCCTTGTGACAATGAAATGTAGCCCGAAGGGTTGCATTCATTACTATATATGCAACTCTAATTTTGATATATCCGAGGCCCCTATATTAGGAGATAGCAATTTAATAGCATCGAATGATACAATGTTTCGCAATAATGGTACAATTTTGATGTGCCAGATTCTATATCAGTTGTAACTTGTTTGGCGTTTTCATCTTGCAATTCGTGAAAAGTCTTTCTTCGCAAGGGCTGCTCATTCTCGAATTTGGGAAATTGAAATAAAACAATTATTCATACATTTATAAGGGTACCTGGTACTATTTCATCTTTAGCCTCTTTATAACCATTTACATCACCATTCTCACAAATTTACATGTAGTAAATACGAATTTAAGTAGTTCTTCATTTAAAGTAGATGCATCATAAGGAAGAAACATCATTATAAACGATTGTTTTGATATTAACGAATATAGAACAATTCAAATGATAATCAAATGATTTGACCACAGTGAATTTGTCGTTGATGAAACAAACGTCCAGTGACAGAGCTCTGACATGAGGGAACATGCATATGCAAGACGAAGTTTTTATACTTCACCATCACTGGCAGTACACAGAATACTCATGACACAGGATTATCGTATGTCATAGTCCTTGAAATAACACATAAAGTAAAATTATTACTCTCTCAATCTGTGTTATAATTCTAATTCCTCTCATCTGTCATAGGTGTATTTTGTAACGATAACCCCGAAAGGATTGTCAGATCGATATAATTGTGAGCTGTACATCCTGTTTCAATCTTATCATACTCGTCAAACTAATTGAATCAACAACCCCAATAAGATCTATATGCTACAGTGGGCTATAAACAGAAAAATATTTGAAGTAAATTTAATCATTGATTCTCGATTAAACAACGTCACATGCAATATATTGTTCTTTCTTGACAACGTGATTCGCAAATTTAGCCTCGTGTTACCAAATGTCTGTAGAGATTCTGTACAAATCCAAGCAAATATGTCACTTAGAAAAGTTCGGCAATTGATTTCCAGAGCACCCATTGCTGTATGTATTTCCGTTCAGCCAATGGTGATATGGTTACATTAGCTATGTTTGTTATACGCTGTATCATGCACACAGTGACATAACTGCAAAATGTGTTGGTTATTTGATGACTGCGAATCAATTCCAGAGAATTCAAATGTTAATCGTTAACTAACTATTCGGTCTGAATAAGAAGAAAGGGCGAATTCAAAGGAAATAGTGAATTTAAATTGTGCCTGCAGATACGTGAATCAGCATTGCATTCAGAAACACGATTGTTGGCACCAACAAATATTCTTGCAATACAATCTATAACCAATTACTATGCTCAAACCATCATAAAAAGATGTATAATATATATTCTTTGAATCGAAATTGCCAGTAGAACACTCATCTGTTCCGACAAACCTAACCCGTATATTGCAACTGTCAACTACAATCTTAATAATAAATCATGCACAGAAATTAGCATACAAGTTAGTATCAATGTAAAGTGATGTATGGGTACCCACAATGCAATTTGTTATTCCCACTCGTTGTTCATTGTCGTAATGTTTATAGAGAAGATGAACGGAGCATAAGTATAATGTGATTACAGTTTGTATATTTGTCTTGAATTAAATTAAAAAAAAAACTTTTGAAAAAATTATGTCCTGATAATTTTAAAAATGTGTTAAATTACATAAGTCACAAATATGCGTGATTAAATATTATTACCCGACAAACATGTTTTTTTCCAATTCAAAATAATAAAAGAGAACGCGTATTAAATATTATATCTGGAGTCGGAAAAGTCACATAAACCGTGCAGTACAACATAACTGGCAATTAAAAAAGTCTGTGTGACTCGAATTATATATGTCACAAAAGTAAAGTTTATTAAATGACAAGCTGTCTATAAAGATTTTGGAATCGCGCCGAGTGATGTCAACACATTGTATATGACCCTCGGCATTCTTTAACTGGCTGCGTAAGGCGTATCCATGTTTTTTTTTTCTTCTTAAGTTGAATCGAATATATATAAAGCAGATTTTGACACGGTAACCTTAAAAAACAACCTTATCTGTTAGCTAGATTTAAAGGTTGAGTATCAAAGCACAATAATTTAAGTAGCTTCGTATTGACTCAGGTCAAGACAACGGACTTGTTTTATTCTCATGACGTTAAGTTTTATTTTTTTTACATTTTAAATCATCCGGCGTAATAGTCAGAATATCCAAAACATGTAATATCGAAATTGACTGTTGGATAAACATTTGGACATACATTGATACAGGTCAATCACGAGCGGCCTTGTTATCAGACATTAAACCACGATCATGACGTCACGCATCGAGGGATTTCCAACTATTCCTATTTGACTTTTCAACGACGTACATCTTTGTTCAGTTCAGCTCCCTCCTCAATATAAAAGAGACTTTTCTTCAACAGCAATACCCTGGATTCGAAAACGGTCATCATCGATCATGTAAGACATGGAGTGACTACTCTACTGGCTGAGTTTAGTTTGGGAGCTGTGAAGTAGTGAATTTAAAAAGTGGCCTATAATAACACATGCATGAATCATTGTTTTTGTGTTGTTTATTATTATGCGAAATATGATTTAATGTCTATTAGTAGTCTTATTTGTTATTAATTAGCTTTATAATATCTTGATTTAATATTAAGTATATATGATATAGAGACGGCTTTGAGTTCGTTTGGGTCGATTTTACTTATTTTTGGCTCTTTGGTCATTTTAGAATTTCGCTTCCCTTTTCCATTTCCATTTGTTTTTGTTTCCACAATATGTAATAATACAGAATTGACCATCGTGCGAGTAACTAATTCACGAATTATCTTATCTTAACACCCCTGTAAAATGAGTTCTTTTAAATTTCGAAGCGTCCAAAAATTGTATAATGGAAATGTGAAATGAAAGTCAAGTACACACTATGAAAGTATATTTTAAACAATGTGCTTTATTCTACACGAGAAGGGGTGGACAGGAAATGGCTGACCTGTTATCAGTGATAGTGGGCTACATTACATTGTCACAAGGAAATATATGTTACACTTCTAAATCAATACTATAGATGATGGTGTAACATAGAAACTTGCATGCACCGAATTATGAAACATAAGTAACCCGAATAACGGACGTAAATACTGGCGATTGAAACATCACCCTTTAAATCAATAACATAATTTGATGTTTGACGTTCATTGCACTGATAAATTACTAAAGACAATAAATAAAAATAATGGAACACATTATGTGTCACTGCTTCAACATATTGAAATAAGACAAACAATTATTGCCAAATCATTATTCAATGCGGTGTTATTGAAAAAAGTAATTACATTTACTAGCCTGAGTGAATGTATAGCTTAAAAGTCTTGTGTAAGCTATAGGTCTCTCAGTGAAAAAAATATTACGAGGAACAACAAACACATCTCAGCATAAAGACCGCTGTTTTGACACTCACTATTTCTGCCAAAATATACCAGACTGCCCAGATACTAAACAGAGTAAATAATAATAAAAGCTACTGGCTCTTGATGTTGCAATTCAGTTAAAATTAAAATGCAATTAAAAATCGCATTATATCCAGCCATTATATATAGCGCAATCCCCTGCCTTCTGCTATATTTATAGCTTATCAGAGACAAAAACTATTTGAATATCAGATTATAGTACTGCCCACGTATTTTCTATAACTCATAGGGCTCACGTGACCAAATTGAAACTACAAAGCATGGATAATGATGAAAAGTAGAGGGCAGCATACAACTAAATTTGGCATCATGCACCTTTTTAACTATGACAGACCTAGGCGTTCGACCGCTTCCTTTATAATAGCTTTTCGATTTACCTTCAAACCCATTGTAGGAATGTTTGTAAAAAATAGAAAGTAACGTGGATTTCTCAAAGGAGACACCTTCCCAGCCAGGAATTCCAGCATTTCATCCATGGTACAAGTGGATTTTTCTTTAAGCACAAGACAAAGGCAGATTTCATTAACGAGTTTCTCACCAGGAACAGGGACTACATGGGCGTCTTTCAATTTTGGATGGTTTCCTAGATGATTCGTGATTTCTGCCGGATATACATTGAGTGTTCCTTTTATAATCATGTCATCTTTCCTGCCTAATATAACCAACCGACCATCTTCTTCCATCTGACCGAGATCCCCAGTATAATACCAACCGCATGCATCTTTAACTTTCTCTGTACGTTCCCTGTCACCATAATAACACTGGAATAGATACGGTCCACGAACCCATATTTCACCCCTTGTATTGACTGGAACAATGTTTCGATGTGTGTCCGTGATCTTCACTTCACAGTTATGAATTACTTGGGTTTTCACACGAATTCTATTTTCCACTGTATCCATTATATCCCCTATGCTGATATCCTGGACTTGATTTGATCCATACATGACAACAGTATTAGGGCATAGTAATTTAATTGCATTTAGAATGTTGCCTTCTGAAAAAACGTTTCCTGTGCACCAACATCTTTTCAAGGATGAAAGATCAAAGCTAGTAATATTTTGCTGATTGACAGCTTGTGATAAAAACTGAGGAAACAACACCACGAAATTACATTGTTCTTGCTCGACGGCTTCCAATGCACCAGAAAAGTCTTCTGTGGGTCTGGGCCAAACCAGAGTTGCACCCCAGGTTAGAAGCATGGTTTGATATATATGACAATATGAACCAAGGCCTGCTAACTTTAGAACCTTTATTATGCTTCCATCATTGGCTGCAGCATTGCGTTTTGAAGCATACAAGTTTGCTATGTTGGCTCTTTGTGTTCGAACCACAGGTTTGGGGTATCCAGTGCTGCCAGAAATGAAAGTTATTATATAAGGATCATCAACACTGACTTTGTTCTTCAAAGTTTGTATGAACTCATCTTCTTCTGCTCCGCAACGCCCTTGTAGTTGTTTAGCATGCATAACGATGCTGCATCCGAGTAGAGGGCAGTCATCATCAAATGTTACAATGTTTCGCAATGATGGTACATAAGATAAAGTTGATGTGGCAGATTTTATATCTGGAGTAACTTGTATTAATTTCTTATATTGATCGTACTGACTGAAACCGACAAACAAAACTGAACACTCTGTTTTATTTATTATGTGTCTTAAACGATCAGCTGATTGTAATTCTGCTAATTCAATTGTGATTAGACCGGCTCTAATAGCAGCTGAATTCAATAGCATCCACTCGTATCCATCACCCATCCAGAGACAAACTCGCTCACCAGGTTTCAGACCGAGCTTCACCAAATCACAAGCAAGCTGGTTGGTTTCATCTACAAATTGCTTGACAGATATTCGCACACCACTTTCGCAGAACACAAATGCATCTCTGTCTGGAAAACATCTGGCGTTTTTATCTTGCAATTCATGAAAAGTCTTTCTAAGCATGGGCTGCGTTGATTCTCTGTGATAATAACTTGTCTTAAGCTTACTCTTGCTATAACTACTCATTCTTGAATCTGAGAAATTGAAATAAAAAATATCTTATTACATCTAGAACAGTACCTAGTACTATTTCATCTTTCGAGTTGTTATAACCACTTACATCAACCACCTCATCAGTTTCAATATTTATTGATTTGTTGCAAGATGTGTCAAGATACACCTGGCAAACCCATACTTGAATAAGGAATATAATAATTTGTGGTGTCTTTATATATTAATGAATCTATTTTGAAATTGTTTCTTGAACAATATAACTAAATGATTCGACCCTAGTGACATAATTAGTGGTGAAGTTGTCATTAATGAAATGAACAAACGCTCAGTGATAGAGCTCTGACAAGTGGGAAGAGGCATATGAAAGACATTTCCCAACACATGTTTTTATAATTCGCCACCACTAGCAGTGCAGAGATCCTCATAACACATGATTATTAGATAAACATATTCATTATACACATTATAGTGACATCCATCATATGCTGGTGCTCGACAGCTGAACTGTGTTTTTTAATCTGAAGGTGCTTCCTTCTTTAAGCACAAAACAAAAGCATAATTCGTTCACGAATTGCTCATCGAGAACACTCACTGCTTTGGCATCTTTCAATTTGGGGGTGGTCTCCGAGATAATTTGCGATTTCTACCGGATATACATTTAGTGTTCTTTTTATAATCTTCCCTGCTTAATATAACCAAATATTCATGGAATTGTTTTTGAGTTAGTTGGTAAGATACCAAAATAATACATTGTGGAAAGTCAATTCGCAAAGCGTATGTTTGTTGAGTTGTTGATTGACGATAAATTACGTGACCATGATGGTATTAAATGTCTTCAATTTCTACTTTGTTGTGTTTCAATTTGCCTCATCAACCCAACATATCTGTTCTAGATACAGAGCCGAGCGGCTCCTAAAAAAGCTAAAAATTCTAATCCACCCGCCCCCGGTATCAGAAACGTTTGTTTTAAAACAAACATCTTTCTAGGATACCAAAAGGCCAGTGTTATGTGAAGATAATAACGTATGTGAGACTATTAATTATACGTCGGTTACATGTTACTTGAGATTGCAATAGGGTAAAACGCATCAAAAAGTAATCTGTGATTCAGAAATTCACTAAACGTAACTAAGCATAACATATATATAACTTATAGATCACGTGATGGCTTAGATATATAAGAGAATATTTCGCTTTTGTTACTTTGTTTGGCTATTGAAAACATTGTTTTGGTCTATTCAATGCAATATCATTTTTGTTTTCGAAGCTCATTTTTGCTGTTAGTGTTTAACTGTATTACTAAAAGTGTTGCACTCAGACTTAGAAAAGCACAATCAATATCATGTTATGTAGGCGCGGACCCGTGTAATACACGAACAAATACGAAACAATTCTATGAGCAACTCTAATTTGGATATATTTGCAGACCAATCACTTCATTATTAGAGAAAACATTTGATTTTTTGAATTTTAATTAGAAATCGTTCTCATTTCTAAATGAGTTATTGAAATTATAATAGCCATCAATAACAAGAAAATCCTCGCGTGTTACGGCACGCCTTTTTGGGGTAACACCTCTAAGAGTAGTAGGCGATTTTCCGTTCACTGCGAGATAATGCGATAAATGCGCGGATCAAACGTCTGCTACAAAAATGTAATGATTTGAACTTGAATGTCTGATTTTATAGTACAGTGTCGACAATTTTTCAAAGAGGAATAAGGCGCTAACATACACTTACTTAATCAAAATTTGACCGTATTCATATTTTGCGTTTATCGAATCGTTTAGCGGCGATGTTCTGGCGTCATCACGACGCTGCAACCTTTGTGATGTTTGTTATGTCCTATTGAATGGAAAATGGACTATTTATTACATATCCAACATAAGCTTAATAAATCCTTGGAGTTGATATGGCGGTCCCCATCGGCACTGTTTCTATAGTGTTGCGAGGCCCGATTCATACGACACGAGTTGGTAATCCTTTGGTATTGCGCACGTGAAATTAACAAAAGGCAATCGACATCGCACGCGGCGATGTAGAGGGTCAATTTACATATCAATGGCCACAGTGTTGTAGTAATTTATTTTGAGTGACAACCATTCACGTGACAAAATATTTTGGGGGTACCCGCGGTGCGCCAATCAACAATGAACTATGTGTCAACGGGAGCCTTGACTTTGATTGGATCAGACTGAGCTTGTACAACACATGCCGAATCATCATTAACTGGAACATGATTTATACTGTAATGTTGCTATATCGACTTCCCTGTATTGTTTATTCATTTACCAAATTGAATTATAGGTTTGTAGATATAGATTAATAATATATTCAATAATATTATATACTATACTAATTTATGTGAAAAAAAACACTGTTGAAGTTCTAATTTGATGTAATATTTGCATTGAAAAAAACGCTCAAATTAATCAGGTTACTTTTACGTATAATCATGGGATTGCTTAGCTGAGAACGTTTATAGACATTATAGCAAATATTAAAATCAAGTCACAAAGCTCATGTTTGTTGAGAAATGACGATGAATTGTGTGACCTTAATTAGTACATTGTTTAATGTATTTAATTTCTTTCAAGCTAACTCATCCAGTCGACCTATCTGTCCGGACACGTGTGATACAAAACAGAACGGCCCCTTAAAAGTTACATATTCCAATTTCCCAGCTCCCAGTATCAGAAACGTTTGTTTTTTAAACAACTATATTCCCGGGATACCGACAGGACGTCCTTTTTTTATGAATCATGTGCGATAACTAATTCTATTGAACCCACCGCACTCTGCCTGACTCTACACGCCCCGGTGCACCGTACCCTATCTAACCATTCACAACATCTACTTTCAAGTTGCGTTAAGATAGGTTCAATTCACGGTTGAGATTTTGCGAGTATACGCCATATACTGCTACGACTAAACACATTGTCTGACTTGCATTTACTATGCTCGACTTTTAATTTTCTTCCTAGAATTCAACGTGCCAAATAATATTTACAAATGACCATTCTGATACACATTACGTTTACCTTATGCCTTTGCTGCGTGTGTTGTGGCGTCGCAAACGCCGTCTACAATACCTATGCGTTTTTAAAAATATCTTCAAGTTTTTAAAATAGACGCTGGTTTTGTAGTGAAACTGTGACACCGTTATTTTAATTCGCGTACACACTGTCGTAGGAGTTAAATCAATTGAAAATGATAAATATTTTGTTTTACCGCATCAGGGCAGAGGATGATGATAGGGCAATCTTATGTGTTAACGTGGTCTTGAACCAGGTCGTGTTAATTGTGTGACCAGGAACCCCGTTCTTCGACAGTTATCATACTCCGAGCTCTTTCTACTATAGATATCATATAATCTGATTATATCTGGTACTCAAGTATGAATCTGATGTTGGAATTAACAGTCCTGTTCTGGGGTGTTTTACAGAATGAATGGTTCAAAAAATGGAATTCGGGTGACCCTCATACTACAGGTCGTGTTATTTATTTGAAAAGTGACTATTCACGCGAGATCGCATTGTACGCGGGAAAATACGTCATTTCACGGCATGAATTTTTAATTCAATGTAACTATTTCCGGCCTCTTTCTGCTGTACAATATCATATAATCTGATTATATCTAGTATGCATCTGATGTTGGAATTAACAGTCCTGTTCTGGGGGTGTTTTACAGAATTAGGATGACCCTCAGACTACATACAGGTCGTGTTATTTAGTTGAAATTGCACTGGAATAGGCGTGATGGAGAACGTCAACTGTTAGCGAAGATTCCAGAGACATGGAAAAAACTGAGTGAACTCAAATTATAGCGCTAAGTGACTATTGTCACGTGATTTAGTACCTTCGAATCCGATTCACGCGAGATCGCATTGTACGCGGGAAAATCCGTCATTTCACGGCATGAATTTTTAATTCGATGCAACTATTCCCGAATAGGATTACTACCCGCATAACGCCACAAACAGGTCGAGCACAAGAGATTGAAATGCTATATTTATATACCAATATCCAGGAATTATTTTCGACCCCTATATGTAAATCTAGACGAGTCGACAATATTGTAGATAACATTGATTTACTACTTTGATTTATTACGATTTTCAACATTATTTTATAACATTATATGCGTGTGTCTCAACAATCCAATTAGTCCAATTTTCCTCTGATAGTAAAATTAACTTATACATAAACATGATGAAACACTTTATTTCAATTTTTTTAAAAATATTTTATAATTTTTCTAATCATTTTTTTTTCTATTATAATGCAATAAAACGAATTATTAATAATATAAATCAATTCCTTCTAGTTAATTTTAATTTAGATATTTCGGCAAGATTTTTTGGACAGTATTGGATAAGATATTTACGCGTGGAAGCCAGTTTGATCATTAAATAAGAAAATGATTATTCTTTCACGAGTGATAATAAAAAAGCGATGTACGGAAAGCCAATAGTGTAAATATGTGTACCTGGCGCAACCTGCATGCATGTGTCAGGTGATAACTCTCGTGTACGATACGCAACACACAACTCCTACATACACCGTATCAAGGCAATTCAGTAGGTAGTTTTCAAGAAGAAGTCGAAAATAAAAAAATTTTTCCAAAACTGGCAAAATATTAACCCAAAATAAAGAATTGAAAATATCGTTTATGAATAAAAAATCTGAGAGAGACACGCCCAAGGTATCTACATTCAAAGTATCAAAACAATTAAGCTGTTTGTTTTTAAGAAGAAGTCGAAAATAACATCTTTTTTCAAAAATATTTGCTAAAAATTGAAAATATTGTCACGAAATGCCAAATGACGAATTTGTTACAGTTAGTTGCGAAGCATACGAGATTTCCTCTTTGTTAATGTTGGTAGCAAATTCCGTTTCAATGTGACTTATCAAACCGAATTATCCTTACACTCGAGATACAGAACAGAATAGCCCTGTAAAGCTAAATATTGACACCCCGGATCTATTATCAGAAACGTTCGTCCTTCATAT